ACATTGCTGAACTGAATCTACATGGTCTCCTGGAGTTCCTTGGGCTAGGCCTGACAGTGGCCCAATTTTTTCATTTTTATAATATAAAGACATTTTAAAAATTAAACAAGACTCTTTTTGTCATTTTTGTCATCAGGTTAGGGGCACTTTTATTTATTTAATTTATTTATTAAATTTGTATACTGCCCATCTCCCCCAGAGGGTGACTCTGGGTGGCTCAAAATTAAAGTAAACCCAAAAACAGTTAAAAAAATAAATACCCACATTCATTAATTAAAAAGTCAGGCTATATAAAACAAACCCTATACATAAAAAACTAAAAATATTCAAGATGACGGGGGGGTAGAATCAATTACCCCACAAGCTACTTCCACTGGTGCGAGCCCCCATCTGGCCCTCAGGCCATCTGGCATAGCCAAGATTTCACTCTCTTCCTGAAGGCTGTGAGAGTGGGGGCACACTGCACCTCAGTTGGTAAGTTGTTCCACAGAGTGGGGGCCACAGCAGAAAAGGCCCTCTTCCTAGATCCCACCAGTTGAAATTCCTTAACTGGTGGGGTCCGCAACATGCCCCTTCTGCCAGACCGAGTGGGGCCGGCTGATATAACGGGGACAAGACGGTTTCTCAGATAACCTGGTCCTGTGCCATGAAGGGCTTTAAAGGTGATAACCAACACCTTGAATTGGACCAGGAAGCAAACTGGCAACCAATGCAGCTCACGTAACAGAGGTGTTATATGGGCCCCCCAGGGGCATTCAGAACTGTCTGTGCTGCTGCATTCTGCACCAGCTGTAACTTCCGGATACTCTTCAAGGGTAGCCCCATGTAGAGTGCGTTGCAGTAATCCAACCAGGAGGTGACCAGGGCATGAGTGACTGTGCAGAGAGCCTCCCGTTCAAAGAAGGGGCGTAGCTGATGCACAACACAAAGTTGTGCAAAGACCCTCCTAGCCACAACTGCCAGTCTAGGAGGACCTTTTAATCATGAGCTACAAGATTTCTGAGAGTCAATATTTGGGTTCCAGCCATCCTGATTACTTTCAATGTGGGTATCTGGCACATCTCCCTTTTAGATTGTGTAAGTCAGATTCAGCATGAACAAGATGGTCCTGAAAGTAATAAGGGCCAAGATATAAAGAACTTTGTAGGTAATCACCAAAATTGGATCCAGAAGTATACTGGCAAATAGTGCAGCTCCTGTGGAACAAGTGTTACTCTGCTAAACTGGCTAATGCTTTCAGTGCTGCTTATAGCTTTTGAGTCATCTTTAATGGCAGCCATTATCCAAGTGTAGGAGAAACCCCAGCTTGTGTACCACCTCCTTCAAGGGAAGCACTACCGCGTCAGGAATTACAGATGGAAAATTCATGGCATCAGAAGGTTTCTGAACAGTAGCAGATCCATTTTGCTGTCACAGTCAGTCACAGTCATTTCACCCCATCTAATCCCCTATAGCCTCCAGGCACTGAGTCAGGGCTTCCTTACTATCTTCTTTTTGGATTCAATCAAGGCATAAGGTTGGGTTTCATCAGCTCATAGATGTTACTTAACCCCAGTTAAGAGCAGGTAAGAGCAAAGCCATAGCCAAAAGTAACCCAAATCAAATCTAGTGTGTTTGGACAGCCACTAGGATTAATAAAGCTAGTTGCAGTACAGTTTGTGTTTTAATTTGTGGACTCTTGTGTAGGCTATGTGTTCTGATGTATGCTCTTCTATGAGATCCTGGGCTAGAAGGAACAACTGACAGGGATCACCCTGTCCATAAAGAAATTGTTCATTCCTTCCCCCTTTCCTCTTTTCTTCTTCAAATCTTTCTAAATCTCTGACGTTGAATATAATAAAGATTAAAAATTCTTAATGGGCCAGTGGGTGCTCATTCTAGGAAAGGGATATAGTTTTTAACACTTATCTCACCTGGCAGAGATATGAAGGAAGGGAGTGTGCCAGTTATTCCTCTTCTGATAAATCAGTGACAAAGAAGATTTCTCTGGAGTAAAGTAACTTGTGGTAGCATACCTGGTCCCCAGGAATTACAGGGAGGGTGCAGGAGGGTGCAGGTTGCAGGAGGAAAGTTAGGAGAACCCTTGTGGGAATCATTGGGGCCCAGACCATCATATCTCATCACACCCTATTCGCAGGTTTCCATTCAGCCAAACAATCTAGGATCTCAGAGTTAAAATCGACAGTTTAGATGTATCTAGTTATTGCCTTCCTCAACACTAGTATGATATGTGGCTTTTATCATTTTACTTGTTTGTTTGTCAAATTTATATCCTGCCTTTCCTCCAGGAGCTTAAGGCTGTGTTCAGTTTTTTCCCACAATGGCAACTGTGAGGTAGGGTGTCTAGCTCAATGCTCAAAAGGAAGCTTAAACAAAAAAGATCTGATCTGGCTTCTTTGCTCTACCCTCAGGGACTCAGATGATCTTTTTATTTCAAAGGTGAATAATTTGGAAAAATACAGACTTCCTTTCAGATAAATGCATTATATCAAAATGTACTTCTCCTAAAACAACACTTTGAAAAGTTATTGTGAGTTTTGTTTTAGCACTGTTCAGTGTAGGCCTTTGTTGTCTTTTAGGTCAAAAAAGAAACCTGCAGAACAAGAAGTTGAAGAGTAAGTGACTCTCTCATCATCTACTGTGTTTCCACATAAATGTTAAGAAAACCTATCTCATATTGATTATTTTATGTTTGTGGCAACTGTTCCCATATATATTTTTGCAGATTTTTGTCATGTTTATTGAAATGGATATAAGCTATTAGGGCTATGCAGTGATCTAGATTTGAAGGGGAAAAGGTGATTCGTAGCACATATGGGCGCACCTGCGTGTACCTCCTTTGATCAAAAATATCTGCCTGGGTTTATTTATGACCCTGGGAAAAAACACAACTTCATAATATGTGCAATGTGTGCACCCATACATGCTCCAAATCGTCTTTTCCTCTTAGAAACTAGATTGCTGCACAACCTTATGTAGTATATTCTAAATGCCAAAGGGGAATAGATTAGACTGAAGTCTCATGATCCCCTGAAGAACTTCAAATTAAAACCTGAAATATTACAAATAATTTAAAATAACAATCAGACATTTGGAAGTCACGCTTTTAAAAAGCCGCTTTCATTCCTGATGCTTGTGCTTGGATTTTTACAAGGGTTTGTTTGTTTATTTATTTATTAAATTTATATGGCTGCCCGTTTCAAGTACGTGACTCTGGATAAATGAAAAGTAACACCTCCAATGTTATATCTCCAACAGATGGCAGTACTGATGCACTAGAAATGCTGAAGCGTTCTTTAGCATCCGTTCTTTCACTTCATTTGGTGGGAATTTGTTGTGAGAAAAAGTTGTGTTGCTATTGTTTGTGAAATGGAAACCTGCAGTGAGTGACTTGTCAGTACAATTTAAGCAACACACCATCACTGAACTTTTGACTGCTGAATGCAGGTTGTTTGTGGCAATGATTGTGTGATGTGAATACTGTGCACCACTGTGCCAAAAAATGTAAAGATGGTGAATCACGAAAAGCTGATTTGTGTGTGTGGTTAAGAATGAAGTGGATGACCTTTGACAGCAACTGATAAGCTTCACATGAGAAATATTGATGAACTGAACTTCTGGGGAAGCCATGGCGAACTGAAGATATCTTTGCGAAAGTGGAACTGATGACAGCGGCAAAGACCAAAGAACCAGTGAGTAGACAGGTTCCTTGGAACCTCTCTGGATAAGGAGAAGATGGGAGATCATCCAGACGTGCTCCAGATGGCTGCTCCTCCAAGGAGATTGCAAGACAGCAGTTTTCTGTGGGTTTGAGTGTAGGAAGACAAGGGGATTAGCCATCTTGCTTGCAACTATGGTAGAGCCTTTTAAAGGACACTAAGTTCATAAGCCTCACTTTCTCATCACTTTCAGAAATTGCCTATTAACCATCTTACAGCTGTTAGAGACATTCAGAACAAGTTTGAAAAGTTGCTGGATGAGTTTAGCTTTTTGTTCTTTTTCTGAACAAAAGAAAAATGAATCCTTGGGGTTCTCTGAGCTTGGTTCGTTTCTTGCAAACGTTTTATTACCTGGCTAGGTA